CCTTTAACCAAAACCCAGCCTGTCCCTGGGCAGGCAGTGGGTTGGCGGGTGGGAGCTGTGTTTATCCTGTGCCCCTGTTTTCCAGGGTGAAGAGGAGGAAGATGGCTGACAAGGTGCTGCCCCAGCGGGTGAGTGCCACCTCAACCCAGGGACAGAGCTCTTCAGGGCTGGGGTGTCCCCACAGAGGGAGCATTTCCCTTCTTCTCACTGGGAATTCTGTTCGATCCCAAACCTATCTGGAATATTGCTTTGTCCTCCTGGTGTGACAGGAGAGGGTCGGGGTGGGTTAAGTCGGATTCTGAGCGAGCAAGGAGCAGGAATGGGGTGGGGTGGGGATCTCAGGAGGTCCCTCAGAGCCCCTCTGGACAATCCAGGGTCCATTCCGTGGGCTGGGACACTGGGAATGCTGCTRGGAGCAGCCATGGGCTCCAGTCTGGTTTGGGCAGAGCTTTGCAGRGCTCCAGGCTGGGTTTAAAATGAGARCTCRGTGCTGGACTGGTCCCCCRGTGCTTCCCCAGCTGCTGGGGGAGKTCCAGCCTRTCCCMACACCCTGGCAATGACCATTGCTGTGTCCAGATCCGGGAGCTGGTCCCAGARTCACAGGCCTACATGGACCTCCTGGCCTTCGAGCGCAAACTGGACCAAACCATCGCTCGCAAGAGGATGGAGATCCAGGAGGCCATCAAGAAGCCCCTGACGGTGAGCAGGGGCTGGGGATCGGGGATTCATGGGATCGGGGATCCCTAAGGCTGGGAAAATCCCCCACGACCATCAAATCTGGCATCACACCAAGCTGTGGAATATCCACGGGTTTCCTGGACACTTCCAGGGATGGTGACTCTACCTCTGCCCAGGGTAGCCCATTCCAATTTTTTTTAGGCCTTTTTGAGGAGAAATTTTCCCTAAAATCTGAGGGATTTTCCTCCCCTGAGGCCGTTTCCTCTCACCCTGGCAGGGAATGGGCGCTGCAGTCCCTTCGGACTCGGCTCATCCCCCTCTCTCTGTTCCCATTGCACAGCAAAAGCGGAAGCTGCGGATTTACATCTCCAACACCTTCACCCCAGCCAAGGAGGAGGGAGAGGGCGGCGAGCGCGTGGCCTCCTGGGAGCTGCGTGTGGAGGGCAAACTGCTGGA